CATTTCAAACAAATGCTACTTTTTTAGCGGTAGTGTAAACAACAGTAGTCAACATTTGAAGTGGATCATCATGTTTCATCATGTTTCACCACTCATTCTTGTCCTAGGACAATTTTGAAGAACATTTTTGATCCACTTCAAATGTTGACTACTGTAGTTTTATTGCATAACACCAGCTGAAATGTCTATTCACTTACACTAATCCATAAACTAATCTTATCATGTTTTTTGGATTCCAGTAATGTGAATGGGGACATCAGAGTGACCTTAGAGGACACAAAGAAAGCTTCAACACTCCTGATCAGGAAGCTGTTTCTTCTCATGCAGAATCTAGAGGCTCTGCCCACCGCCGTTCACCTCACGATGAAACTCTACTACAACGATGATGGTACAATACACTGCCTTTACATCCTTCTTCATTTCATCTAGAAATCCAGGTTATTTTCTTAAATGATACTAAGACAGATCATAATTGGTCAAAAACACTTTCTTAAATTCAAATAAAAGAAAAAACTCCTTAACTGTCCCCCCCCAAATGACATGTTAAACTTAAATGAATGCCAATTTTCAATGCTATGGTGCATAGTTTTAAGCTTGGTCTCGTTTTAAAGAAGACAGATGTCAGATTGTAACAAGTGACTTCATGATTTTAAAAACAAATAAATATTACATAAAATATGCATTTTACAAAACAAGTTTTAGCCTATAATCTAAATATATGAACAGATTATATTCCAAATTTGAAGCTAATATCTAAAAAAAAATAAGCTTCCAGAAGGATTTTGATTGGATGCAGTACCACAGATGACCATTCAGTTTCCACTGATGACCATACATGGGCTCCCGCTTTGTTTTGAGCAATATGAACCATATTTTTCATATTTTTGACAATGTTTGTAAAGTAGACATCAAATTTAAAGTAGCATGGTAAGTTAGGTGGTATTGGATTTGAATTTAGCCTCTAAACAAATATCTAAAATATTTTTACAAGTGGATTGCTGTAGCAAAGTAATGTTTTACGACTCTGATGAGTATGCTTGTTGCTAATTAATAAATAACTGTTGCTCAGTAAAATCTATCAAAAATCTGATGAAATTAAATTGAATTGAAATGTTAACCTTGAAATGATATATAGTTTGTCATGTTTGTTCATGTTTAGACTACAATATTACGTTTTAAAAATATAATCATAATTGGTCCCACAGGTTGTGACAGTAAATGTGTTTTAATCTATTCGTCTTCATACAGGGATTTTTTTTTCAATTGTATATAGTTTGTCATCCTGATTCAATTAGGATTTAATAGTCCTTTTATTAATCCGGGGTCGCCACAGCGGAATAAAATTGACTGATGTGCTTTTGTCTCTTTGTCACTTGAGTTACGCCTCCTGAATATGAGCCACCAGGATTTAAAGCAGGGGCGAATGAAAGTCTGTGGTTTGAGGGAACAGCGGTGCACTTCAGAGTGGGTGATCTGCAGTCTCGCTATCACACCATGAAGCTGCGCGTGACAGCCGCCCAGAGTCGCCTCGGGAAGCTGCAGGATGGGGGCCAGTTGAGTGAGAATGAGATGGAGATGGAGACGCCCTCACTGCATCACATCAGACCTGCAGAAACGGTGAACAGCACATGCATTTCAAACGGATAGTTCACTTAAAAATATACATCTGCTGTTAAATTAATAACCCTCCGGACATCCAAGATCAGGGCTTTTATTATTGGTAAAACACTAAAGATATGTTTTAGCTGAACTCCAGACATCCTTTCTTTGTACGTGTATTACTTATTTAGCTGGATTTGGTTATTGATGATTTGACACGATCCATAGTTTCATTCTTCAAAACTTATACGAGAGTTGTTTTAAAAATGGACAAAAGAAAAAAAAAAGGTACACGTGGTGGTCCTCCCCAAGGGGTTCAAATAGAACATTTATTAATATGGACTTTTAAGATACAAACATGTACTATTTTAACCCAGCTTTAGTACAATTTGTGTATGATAATAGACGTGCACAATATTCTCTTTACTTTTTATTTTTCTTATTTTTCTTTACTTTTCTTATATTGCAGTCATTGTGTTTTGACAGCTAATATGCTGATGAGTTGATGCTTTACAAAAGTTGCAGATGCCTTAACCAATAACAAAAGCCTTTTTTGATGATAAATTAATTTAAACAGCCAATTTTGCCTTATGCCACATGATTAAGACTTGACTAGGCCTACCATATTAAAGAAAATCCACTCTAAATGTAAAACTACAGAAAATTGCTAAATACTCTTTTGACACAAGAGTGTAAAGCCTACAGCCTACAACAAATGTTGTATGATATTAAACGTATCATATTTAACAAACCGTTTACTAATAAATTTATGTAATTTTGATCACATTGATAATTGAATATTAATCAGATGATGTCATTACGCTGCTGTGCAGTCAGCCAATCGCTACATTGCTGATGCAGTGTTTCCTGGATTTTCTTCAGCTGTGGTGGCAGGCCTTTTACAAAGATCTACCGACTACCTATGGCGTTATTTCAATGACAGTTGTTGTGAGCGCAGTATTACAATCCGAGATTGTATTTATGTAATAAGAGCATGCAAATCTCTTTGCTTGCTCGCTGATTTCCTCTGTTCTTACATAAAACTTCTTGCACGCTCTCAAATAAATGCTGCTGAAGTGCGATTTAGAGCGTTTATCTAACAAGTATGTCTCCAACATTTATTAGATTTGCTAGGAATATTCATGAATGTCTCCAATAGACCTACAGAGCAGCATTAATGTGTCCTGAAGTAAAGAAAAAAGGGCTATAAACTCCAGCGAGATAAAGTCATTGTATGCAGAGCCATACAATGACTTTGTAGCATTTATCTTAACTGAAAGCTTGCTGAAAGTTTGCTAGCCTCACGCATCACGCAGTCAGTCAGCATGTCACCTTAAAGGGTTAAACAAATATTGCACAGCACTTTTACAGTTACATAAAACTGTTAATTCACTTACTTTTTAATGCGTTTTGGTGTGATTATAACCCACTATTTAAAATAAATGACTGAATGTTTTGAATGAGAAGCTGTAATGTAGCCGTGGCGGGATGAATTTTGGTGTGGCGCCCTGCCATGGAAGAATGAATGTAGTGGAAACCATGCCATGATTTTAAGGATCGACAGATCTGTCCTTCACAACACATGCATTGATCTCAAATCAGTTCATCCAGACATTTTAATCTGATTCACAAACTAGTTTAAAAAACCAAATTAGCTAGAGATCAGTTATCAAGATTAAAAAGATCCAGGATATGCTAAAATATCTTAGATCATTAAAGAGCAGAACCCAGGTCTTTAGTTATTCTTAATCACCAAGTGGTTTATTTATAAAGTTATTTCAAGAGGATCACATGCTTATGATTGCTTGCAGCTGGTACCGCATTATTCAATTTATGATTCACCAATCAGACGATTCCTAAGCCACTATAAATACCCTGAGTTCCATATGACAGCCATCTTCGGTTTGAAGAATCCCCCCTTCCACCCCTACTCCTCCTCTTTTCCTAGATGGGCGGCATGGTGGCCCAGTGGTTAGCACTTTTGCCTCACAGCAAGAACGTCACTGGTTCTAGTTCTTACAGACGTTTCTGTTTGGGGTTTACACGTTCTCCCCATGCTCCCCATGCTCACGAGTTTCCCCCGGGTTCCTCCCGCCATCCAAAAACAACATGTAACTTAAGTTAGTTGACTATAGACATGCCATAGACATGCTCCTAGTCAGTAGTTATCTCTTAAGAGCAATCTCTATCTGTTCATTAGCTACTACAGCAGGGGTGTTCTCGAGATCTACCTGAGCTCAAATTCCCCTCTCGCCTTGCAAACGGGAGAGCTCGAGGATCTTTTGAGCTCAGGGCAACTCTCCCGGGACAAGCCAAACAAGCTTTATAATAAATCATCAGCTAAGTGTGAACTCTTGAAATGATGCTGCTTATACAATTTGCTGTAATACACATTGCAAATGAGACCAACATTGTGTTGCAGCTCCTCCATTTTGTTTATAATAGTCTAAAATTTGACATTGTGAAACCTTACTGAGGTTTGAGCTTATGGATAACATGATAATATTGTAAGTACTGTTCAATTTCTTGTTCAGACCAAAGGGCCTCGATATGTTGTCTACAGTCGTCAGGATTCATTTTTGTGTTCCCTGTGTTTATGAATCACCAGAGAACACGATTTCAGCTTAAGTATTCTTCTTCTAAAAAAATGTCACCTGCCACCAACCTTTTGCATGATCTGAGAATGAGCAAATTAACAGCACATGTTCAGTATTGGGTAAACTGTCTGTTTAATGACTTTATGTAGGATAATCTTTGATGTGTTCATCGTTTGATTAATTATTTCTGTGATAGGTGATGAGAAACCATGAGCAGGACCTGCCGTCTGAAGATGGTGAGTCTATAAAACTAGTTTCAGAAAATCTGGTCTGCTTTAGCAAAGTATTTTCCAAACGATTTTATCCTTTGCAGAATCTGTTGCACAGTTTAAACAGCCCAAAAAGTCCATCGCAAAGGTAAGATGCTTTCGGCCTCTACAGAGATGAAGATGTGCTTTAAAATCAAAACAGATATTGATTTGTTTGTTTGTTTGTTTCATTCCTTTATACATTTGCACAGAGGAAATGTGTAAGAAGCAATGCTGGAAGGAGGAAAAAGAAGAAATGCTTTTAAAAAAAAAAACTCAATGCGAGTTCACATCAAGCAAACGTGTCTTCAACACATTTTTGCCAACATATTTAAAACATTTACGCTTGTGATATCAGCTTTTTTTACCAGGTAGAAGTTCTAAGTTCTAGAGAATTCCTCCTGCTCATAATTTTAAGAACTGAAAAGCTTTGAGGTGATTTCTTGTTTGGAGTCAATGAGGAATATATTTATTTCACTGAATGTACAAAATGAAATGCATGACACATCAGCTGCTTGTTATGGATCAAATAAACCACACTTCAGATCACTTAACATGAAATATTCCTTCATTAAACACAAGCTCCTTTATTACAATGATGCAAAACCTTTTCATTGAAAGATATTAGTGCATATATTCACAGCATTAACCAAAATATCATATTATCTCTGTTTAATAGACAACATTGCTTTTTAAAATAACAATTGAAACTCTCATAATCATACCATTACACATTACAGGCTCTTGATTGTGAAATATTCACAGACAGCTGCCATTGCTTGACAGGAAATTATGTTTGTGAGCTAAACATCAGTCATCGGTAGTGAACATTAATATACTTCAGTAACTGAGTGTGTCAGTTTTTAGAATACATAGATTAATCCTGCTGGAATATTCAGTCATGAGTCTAGAAGCCGACCAAATGTGAGCGTTGTTTAGAAAAGACTGTCGACATCTCCCATCTCTACCACCACAGTCTTCAGCTGAGAGTAAAACTCAATGGTCACCTGGCCATTTTCCCTTCCAATACCTGAAATCAGACAGAAGGTTGTGTTTAATTAGTACAAAGTGGAAGTTTAGTATCATAGAGCTAACATTATACAGTTGAAGCCGTAATTATTAGCCCCCCTGCATACTTTTTTTTTTTTTTTTTTTTTTTTGTAAATTTCTGTTTACAGAAAGATTTTTCAACACATTAAAACTTTAATAACTCATTTTTAATAACTGATTTGCCATGATGACAGTACATAATATTTGTGTAGATACTTTTGAAGATACTATTATTTAACTCAATTAGATAAGTTAGGCTAATTAGGCAAGTCACTGTATAATGATGGTTTGCTCTGTAAACAATTGAAAACAAATAATGCTTAAGGCAACTTAAATACTGCTTTATTCTAGCCGAAATAAAACAAATAGAACTTTCTCCTGAAGAAAAAACATAGGAAATACTGTGAAAGATTCCTTGCTTTGTTAAACATAATTTGAAAAGAAGATTCAAAGGAGGATAAATAATTATGACTTTAACTGTATGTGACTCTGGACCACAAAACCTTTTTTGCATTGGTAAATATTTGGCAATAGCTACTGTAAATGATTAGTTTTTTTATTCCAAAGTCTTTAGAATAATAACATCATGTTCCATGAGTTTTTTGTACATTTCCTACTGTTAATATATCAAAAACTCAATCCACATCACTTCATGCTCAGCCAAACAGCAAAAAGTGCAAAAATATATATTCAAACGGCCGGCAACACCAAAGCTCAAAAAATGCTAATTTATTTAATTAATTTAACAAATAGACATTTTTGGCCTTGTATCAGCCTTTTTAATTTAACAAATTGGCATTATTGGCCTTGTATCAGCCTTTGTAATTGAATAAATTGGCATTTTTGGCCTTGTACCAGCCTTTGTAATTGAATAAATTGGCATTATTGGCCTTGTATCAGCGTTTGTAATTGAATGAATTGGCATTATTGGCCTTGTATCAGCCTTTGTAATTGAATAAATTGGCATTATTAGCCTTGTATCAGCGTTTGTAATTGAATAAATTGGCATTATTGGCCTTGTATCAGCCTTTGTAATTGAATAAATTGGCATTATTAGCCTTGTATCAGCCTTTGTAATTGAATAAATTGGCATTATTAGCCTTGTATCAGCCTTTGTAATTGAATAAATTGGCATTATTAGCCTTGTATCAGCCTTTGTAATTGAATAAATTGGCATTATTAGCCTTGTATCTACATATAGTTGCATCTCTGCCAAAATACTGGGTCTTATTCATTAAAATTTTTGCATGAAATGTGAATATGGACGTTTTCACATACAAGTAGGCGTCACGATATCCATTTTTTGTTGTACAATATATTGCACCAAAATATATTGTGATAAACGATATTATAGTCATTTGAAAACCATTTTATGCCACTCATTATATGTAAAAATGACAATATAATATCATCACAATGCAAGCACACTCTTCCAAAGAACACATCATATTTTATTCTTAAGAATATTTAATTAAAGTCCTTTAAATAATCAGGCATTGAAATCAGAATGTGAAAACGCATGTCCTAAATAAATACCAATGCATGTTAACGATAAAAGTGCAAGGTGAAAAGTAACAGATGCTGTGATTTCTGCTAGCAGATCTATTTTCAGTTGTCAGACACCCACATGACAATATACTATAATATAACCATACTGACACCTCCAATCAGCTAAAAAGTTGCTAGGATTGGTTTTTATGTATGGGCGATATATATTGCATCATCAAAAATGACCATGTCCATGTGTTGTGTGATGAGTCGATACATTGATTATCGTGACAGGCCTACGAATAAGTGATTTTTTTTTTTAAATAGCAAATATCATTTCTGATAGCAAAGCCTCACGTTTGTTATTGTCAAAAAAAGTAAAACAAATGTACACAATTATTAGTGAATGAGACCCAATGTCCTATCAGATCAAGGGGAAGCTTATTAATCTCCGTTTCAAACAATTGACACTTATGACTGATTTTGTGGTGCAGGATCACGCATACAAGACAGAAAGAGGGAAAAACATTTGTAAACTCTTTTCATTTAGACAGTCACTTCACCTGAAGCCTTGAATCCTCCAAACGGCACCTCCACAGGAGTGATATTATAGTTATTGATGAAGCAAGATCCAGCCTGCAGGTTTTCTATAACACGATGCGCTCTCTTAACATCTCTAGAGAGTCACAAACAAAGGAAAGGGAAACATTAGCAAATGTGAAAGTCCCAGTCTAGCTTTGTTTACTTACAGAAATGTCATTCAGCCACTTGAATTAAATTGTTAGCTCACAAAAAAATGAGAATTTAACTTGATCATTTTAACGAATTTAAGTAAATTGAACAATTAAATTTAACACGAAATACTAGTGTCGATTCAACTCATTTTAAATAAGTAGTTTGATCATATTTTTGAAAGCAAAAGTAAGCAGATGGCGCTCTGGAATATGAACTTTGTCCTGACTGCCCAAAATACGCTGCAAATCTGTGGCATTAAAAAAAATACATTGTGAGCTCCGCAACATTTGCTTGATTTTGCACTAAGTTCATCGATCACAGAATCACGAAAACTTGGGTCGGATTGTAATGGTTTCTAAAAGATCACGCGACACTGAAGACTAGACTAATAATTAAACTTTAATCACAGGAATAATTTGATATTACAAATGACTATTTTACAGCTTTTTTTATCCAATAAATCGGCTGCATTTATTTGGCAGTTGGCTGCATCCAAAATTGCCTACTACTTAGTAGCTACTACATTTGAAATTGAATTTACTACTCGACTGTTAGAAACGAATGTTCTATAAAGTATGAATGCGAGTAGTATGAATGGAACTCAGACATACTACATCCCCCATTTCTCATTATCACATGACCTGCCTGCATAAGTTGCATCGATTCACTCCCATTTATGAATTCTCTCATGTGGCATCATGGGATAGCGTAGAGTCCATCAAATGTGCACTTCAAAATCTCGCCGGAAGTAGTAGGTCATCCGGGTACTTCTCTTCTACTGTTTTTTAAATTATATGAATTCAGACATACTACTCTACTCTACTCTGCTCCCATACTGTTTTTAGCGTACTATGCACTATTGAAAAAATTTAACGTTGCAATATTATTTTTATTTTGCGATATATATTACTATATGAATACAATTTCATCCGAAGGACTTTATATCTCTATTTGGAAAGAATTGGTAATGGGGTAATTGGGATAATTCTGTAGTGAGAGTGCATCTCCATAATATCTAATAAACAATCTTTGAAATTTTTCGGGTCCCCCGACACATCTTCGTTGTGGTGTGTGCTATTTGCAGTGCGTTTCTCTGTTTGCATGCGAGCATTTTCATGCATACCAATCTATAAATACAATCAAGGAAAATAATGAATTTAAATAAAGTGTTTTGTCGTTTACAGAGTCTTACGGTGCATTCACACAGGGCTTCACCTTCAACGCTTGACTGAAGGCGTGTCTGAAGTTGGGGCTGATGTGATTGTCATAGCAGCATCAGCCAATGAAATTAGACAGCAATCGTCCACGGTCTTAGCTGGTGTATTTGCATACAGCGATCTGATTGGCTGACGCTTCCGTCTGCGCTTGAAAAGTTGAGAAAGTCCCAACTTCTGCAGCGAGCAACGCCACTGAAGCGGTGCCGAAGGATCCACAATGCAGTTCGGCAACGCCTGACGTCACCCATTCAAAGTGAATGGGAAGCGTGAACGCTGACGCCTCGTGTGTATGGGCCATTACAGTGTTTAAGTACAGTAACTGAATGGTAAAAATCAATAAAATTAATTGTAGTTAGGAACACAAAGGGTACAATTTCTTAAACCTGAATGCTTTTAAAAATCATACAAATGACGGGCATCAAAAACACATGCAGATGATAAATTATAATAGAAACTCAACATTGCAGATCCTGCGATGTGACTACTGCGAATGATCACATTGCGATATCAATGCTGAAACGATACATTGTGCAGACCTACTATGTAGTATGAAAGTATGTGATTTCAGACGCAGTCATTGCCTTGCTGAACAACATTGCTTCTTTAAAACTTTACAAATCAATCTGAAGTGAATCGACGTTATAAAGAATGGAAAAAGTGACAAACAAAAAGTGTAAGCTGTGTAAGCTGTGCTTCATACATATTTTTTGCTTAAATATGACTGGACATTCTTTCGAAAGCTGTAACCCCAAATTATAGTGTATAAAAAAAAACAATAATCCACTTTACTTAGTAAAGACTCCTGCAGCGAGGCCAAGATCGCTGTCATTTGCTCTTCGAAGAACCTCGTCTTCAGTGTCAAAGGTCAATACTGACATCACAGGCCCGAATATTTCCTCCTTCACACACGTCATGTCATCAGTGCAGCTGTCTGCAAACAAAAAAAAAACAAAAAACACAGATTTAAAGTCGCCATACAAGCAATACGGACAACTATTTTTTATGAAAAATTTAAAAGCAGGACAATGAAACTAATTGTTTTCACACTAATTACTTCCCCAGTCTATTGACTATTGCAAATGTACAGCTGAAGTCGGCATTACTAGCCCCCCTTTGAATTTTTTTTTCTTTTTTAAATATTTCATAAATGACGTTTTAAAGAGCAAGGAAATTGTCATAGTATGTCTGATAATATTTTTTTCTTCTGGAAAAAGTCTTATTTGTTTAATTTCGGCTAGAATAAAAGTTTTTAATTTTTTAAAACCAGATTAAAGACAAAATTTTAGGCCCTTTAAGCTAAATTTTTTTCGATAGTCTACAGGACAAATCATTGTTATACAATAATGTGCCTAATTACCCTAACCTGCCTAGTTTACCTAATTAACCCAGTAAAGCCTTTAAATGTCACTTTAAGCTGTATAGAAGTGTCTTAAAAAATATCTAGTCAAATATTATTTACTGTCATCATGGCAAAGATAAAATAAATCAGTTATTAGAGATGAGTTATTAAAACTATTATGTTTAGAAATGTGTTGAAAAAATCTTTTCCTTGAACAGAAATTGGGGGAAAATATATAAAACTGTATTTTGTATTACGTATTACGTTTAAGCAAACCTGGGATTATATGATTAAATGTGTGCTCATTTGATTATATTTCTAGCATGATAGAAGTCAAGTTTAAAGTCAAGTCAAGTGTTTGATATAAAAGTTACATGTTTTTACAGAGAAAAATACTGGACACCCCACAGACATAAAAAACATGACATGCTATTAAAACATTTTTTAATAAAATGTTTATCAAGTAAATTATGCATCAGCAAATTTCTCTGCAAATTTCTTCAGAATGTGAATAATAAAACCATATGATTGAATAAGATTTATGAAAATATACAGACACGTAACAAAAGTGTATTATAATAGAGGTTTTCTTTACATTAGACTAAAAAACACTTTATGAAAAGCCAAATTTCTTTTATTTATGCCCCTTCAGAATTTTTTAATTAAAAGAAATTTCCCTTCCTCATCAATGGCATCTGTTAACTGGTAGAAGAATGGGGAAACAACCTGTCAATCAAATGAGATCAGCCAATAGATATCATTTACAGATGGACAAAATCAAGTCCTGCTCTACATTTCAGTCAGAATCTACATCACAATGAGGAAGAAGCCTCCTATTAGAAGCTGACTTTAAGGAAATGATCATTACAAAAATAATCCAGTGAATGTTTCCAAAACACAAAACCTAAAAACATCAACTGACGACAGCTTTTCCAACTCACCGAGCACACATGGAGTCATGTAGTATCCATCTTTTAGTTTCGGATCTGCAGGGCTGAAAGGCTCTCCTCCACAAAGCACTTGGGCTCCCTGTCAAGAAAAACAACAGCAACTTTACAATCAGTATCATTTATTAAAGTGTCATGAAACACCCCTGTTTTTCACAGCTGTGATTGGACAAAAAAACTGGAAAAGGGGTGTTTCCAAAAAGGGCAAATACACACAAATGCACACACAAACTTGTTCCTATATCCTGTTGGGGACCCTCATAGATGTAATGATGGATCTACTATGCAAACTGTATATTTTTAACCTAACCCCTAAACCCTACCCTTACGAAAACAACCTGCATTTTTACATTTTCAAAATACTTCATTCTGCATGATACAAGTCTCGATGAGTCTGTGCGAATTCAAGTCCCCACTGGGATATAAAAACAAGTACACAAACACACATGGAGTTAGACATTCTTTACATGCATAGACAAATTGAAAATCCCATTTCCAAGAAAACTTTGGTTTTCAGCAGTTTGTCACCTATACAAAAAAAAACCAACAATATTTTACATCTCAAAAAAAAATGTCTGCATTTCGTGACCCTTTAAAATGTTACAATAATTCTGCTATACACTTGAAAACCACCCTTGATTTGAAAATAATTTAGAAAAACTAACATAGCTAAAGGGGTAGATGAAGATTCTGTCATCATTTACTCACCCTCCGCTTCTTAAACATGATTAAGGCTACGTTCACACTGCAGGCAAATGTGGCCCGAATCAGTTTTTTCCCCCCTCAGGTGACTCATGTAATGACAGTGTGAACAGCCCAAACCGTATGGAATCTGATCTTTTCACTTTAGATTTGTGCCACTTTCATATTTAGTCTTAAATCAGTCATATATCTGATGTTTTGCAATGCGACCGCAGTGTGAACTGTTATGTCGGATTTCATGTGACTTTTACATAATCTTCAAGCGACATGTAGAGCAGCACAGTAGAACGGCACACAGGGCGATTACAGTACCACAGAATGTTGGTCGTTCATTTTGAAAAAAACTTTCGAAGGCAAAAGGGCAGGTGCTCGAGCACCCAAACCCCCCTTCTGCACGTGTCTGCTGTTAATAACGAAGTAAAATGTAATAAATCACAAAGAGAAATAAAGAGATAATCCAACCAAATAAAACAGAGATAAACCTACCCCACCTTCACAGTTCAGTCTGCGGCTGCTCATCAACACTGGTGCTCAGTGCTCATGCTCAGTGCTCATCAACACTGGTGGTTAGAGCGCCACACACCTCGGTTGTCATAAATCACAAATGATCAGTGTTTTTAATCACAAGAGACTTATTTTAGGTCTCAAATGCTGAAATACACACTAGTAGTAGCAGAACAACCCTTTACAGTTCATGTTATACACCACGGTTGTGAAAAGGGTAATAATCATAAGCATGATCTGACAGTGTGTTTACTCATGCAGTACACACACTGTGTGCATAATTATACGTTTTGTGCTCTCTGTAATCGTACTTTTGCGCATGCGGGTCAGTTTAGGACCATGATCTGAACAGCCATGGAAAAAAATCAGATCTGAGAAAAAAAATCAGATTTGAGCACCAAGCCTGGCAGTGTGAACGTAGCCTTAGTTTCTTTCTTCTATTAAACACAAAGGAAGATATTTCGAAGAATGTTGGAAACCTACGAAACCCCGGAAGGGACGTAGTGGAGGAGAAAAAAATTGGCTGGGTGAAAAAATGGGTGGGAGGAAAATATATATTTCTAAGTTTTTGTGTTTTCTCGCAAAGTTTTGCATTATCTCGCAAAGATGTTTTGCGTTCTCTCGAAAAACTGTTTCTCCACAAACACTTCCTGTTCACATCACTCATGTAAACCCTCCCATTTTGCCAAAATTCTCCCATTTTTACAATTCTACCCCACTTTCTTTACATTAAATCTGTGCGTCTATCGTTGCTTTTCATTTTGCAACCTCTGAACCAGCTAATGCATGTATAAGCGCTGACTGACAGACGTGCTCTGTACAATAAACTGATCACAGATCAGCGTCTGTACGCGCCATTTAAATGGACACTTCTGTTATCAAACAAGTGAGCAGCAATGAGTCTCATGTTTTGTTTAGTTTGATAACAGAGGTGTCTCTGTAAGAATGCACAGATCTATAATGAAAGCATTCCGTTACTTTAGAAACTGTTTGTGCTCATTTAAGAGAAAATAAGCTGTTTACAATAAAACATGCAGCACGGAGATGTTTACATATTATTCAGTGTATTTGTCTGTTTAAACATACACCCGGCTCCTCTGTGCTCCTCTGTAAATGGCGCGTACAGACGCTGATCTGGGATCAGTTTATTGTATGGAGCGCGTCTGTCAGTCAGCGCTTATACGTGCATTTTCAGAGGTAGCATATGTAAGGCGACGATCAACGCACAGTAATGTCAAGAAAGTGGGGTAGAATGGTAAAATACGGGAGAATTTCGGCAAAAACGGGAGGGTTTACGTGAGTGAAGTGAACAGGAAGTGTTTGTGGAGAAACAGTTTTGCGAGATAATGCAAAAACTTAGAAATATATATTTTCCTCCCACTCATTTTTTCTTTCACCCATTTTTTTTTTTCACCCAGCCAGTTTTTTTCTCCTCCACTATGTCCCTTCCGGGGTTCCGTAGAAACCTGTAACCATTGACTTCCATTGATTTTTATTCTCTTACTATGGATTGTCAATGGTTACCGGTTTCCAACATTCTTCAAAATATCTTCTTTTGTGTTCAACAGAAACTCAGATGGATTTGAAACCACTCTCGTGTGAGTAAATGATGATTTTTAACCACGTTGCAAATCAACCATGATTTTGCTAGACACTCGTATAACCATGGTATTTGTAGTTAAACTGAGGTTATACAAATATTAATAGTAATCACTGCACCAAAACACAGCTCAAACACTTTTACTACAATAGAACCATGGTTAATTTTAGTAAGCGTATGTACCTCGTTCTTGGCTTGCTCCACGTATCGCAGCACTTTATCCAGATGTGCTTTGCTGACCAGGGCGCCCATGCGGGTCTCGTCTAGCAGAGGGTCTCCAATGCTGATAGCTTTAGTTCTCCTGACCACCTCTTTCAGGAATTGAGGAACAATCGAGCTTTGCACAAACACTCTGGTGCCGTTACTGCACACCTGCACATGAATGGAGAAGACAACAATACTGCTTAGAGAGACAGACAGTTCACCCAAAACTCAAATGCGCTCATCTATTATTCCTCCTTTGCATGTTTTTAAACCTTTGTCTCTTCTGTTAGAAGATATTCTGAAGAATGTTGAAAAAATCCGCCAGTAACTTCTCTAGTATCATAGTATAGTATAGTATAGTATAGTATTATCGTATTTTTTGTTCCTATTATTGATGTCAATGGATGATTTTCCCCAACATTCTTCAGAATATCTTCTTTTGTGTTCAGCAGAAAGAAGAAGTTGATAAAAGTTTAGAACCACTTATGTGTGAGTAAATAAGGTGGTTTTAATTTTGGGGTGAACTGTCGAAGATCGTGTATATATATAAGCACAATATACAGTGGCTTTATTAATCATTTATTAATAGTGTTTGATTAATCTGATATTATTAAGATTAATTGCAGATATCTTGCTGTATCACTGAGGACAAATGAAAGGAAAACAGTTTACAAGATTAGAGAGTGCTTTTTTTGGTTTCCTCTTTCCTTTTCCTTGGAAAACAACTGGTTTTATTCATTCATTCATTTTCTTTTCGGCTTAGTCCCTTTATTAATTTGGGGTCAACACAGCGGAATGAACCGCCAACTTATCCAGCATATATTTTTAGGCAGCGGATGCCCTTCCAGCCGCAACCCATCAATAAGGAAACACATACACACTCATTCACACACACACACTCATACACTACGATCAATTTTAGCCTTCCCAATTCACCTATAGCGCACGTCTGTGCACTTGTTGGGGAAACCTGAGCACTCGGAGGAACACAGGGAGAACCTGCAAACTCCACACAGAAACGCCAACTGACCCAACCTTCTTGCTGTGAGGCAAACGTGCTACCCACCGCGTCGCCTATTCAGTTTTTAGGGACCCCCTCGAAAATGAGATGATTCATCTCAAGGGGCTATCCCATTCAATAAATTCAATTCAAATTATAAAATACAATATAAGACAGACTAGGTCATCTGTTAGAGGTGATTGTTCAGTTAAACGTAAGAGAACTGCTTTTGGACAATCAGTTTTTTCAGTTAAAGCAGCAGAAAGATGGAATAAAATACCAGTGTATATCAGAGAGAGCAGCACTTTTAATCATTTTAAAACTGTTCTTAAAATCTGGCTAAAACAAAATCAAATATGCAGCCACTGATTTGATTTCATTTTATTGACAATGATGTATTGTATTTATTGTACTGTAAGTGTATAGTGTGTTTGTTATAAGTGTTAAATTTGTTACTTCCTGCCCAGGGACTACAGATGTAAATTAGCTTTACAGCTAACTCTGGCACAACATGTCATGTTGTACATTGTCCCTGTATAAATAAATAAAGTAAATAAAATAAATAAATTATTTATCAGAATAATACCCAAGATTTTGATTCCAAGTAAGTACTATTCAGCCAAACTTTCATTTAATTAAAGAATCCTGAAAAGATACTTTTTATTTTTTCTTAAACAGCAATTTATCATCAATTCAATCATTTCTCTGAATCAGAATCGCAAACACACAGTGAATTCAGAACACACACACACACATACCATATATATATATCAATACAAGAACACAGAAGCACATTTAAATAGGTGGAAAATAAAGTAAACAATATACATTTTGATACATGTGTAACTCTTTAACTTTGGGCACTTTTATGTCCTTTGATCATTTATCCAAAAATATATATAAGTTTGTTCACAGTAAAACCTACTTTAAAAAATGTACTAGCTTTCCATTATATATTTTTTATATTATTCAACCTCCTTTTAAGTGTCAAAATAAATGTTTTAAACTTCAACAATTTCATTTGTAAGTCGCTTTGGAGAAAAGCGTCTGCTAAATGACTAAATGTAAATGTAAAACAATGAAAATAATATTTACATTTACATTTTAGTCATTTAGCAGATGCTTTTATCCAAAGCAACTTACAAATGAGGACAAGAAAGCAACTTGGACAACTATAAGAGCAACAATAAATAAGTGCTGTAGGCAAGTTTCAGGTCTGTAAAGTCTAAGAAGGAAAGTATTAGTAATTCTTTTTTTTTTTTTGGTACAGTTAGTGTGATATCCAGAGAGGCAATTGCAGATTAGGAAGTGAAGACATTTTAAATGATTATTTATCTGGTATCTATTAATGTATCTTAATAAAGCACTAGTGAGATGATTTAAATATTTTATAGTTATTAATATATGACTGTTATCAATATTAGTATCAGAGTCATTTCCACCACAACACTGTAATGTCGCATTAAAAAGTTTGCGTGAAAGATTATTTAGGTGGTTTCTATGAACATGAATAGTGGCATCTGAGAACATGTTCAAGATGGAGGGAATTTACATTTTTATCAACAAACACATGAAGAAAAATCAAGGTAAATATTGCTTGATAAGGAAATACATTTATTCTACGTCATTTCCAAACATGCTGTACCTTCAAAGATGTTTTTAAAAACCAAACAAAATGAAGATAAATAAGAGTGTTTTGTATACATGAAAGGCTAGTATCAATTCAAAGCTAATCGCTGAAGCTATCTCTCATTTTTTCACAATAAACTGTTGAAATGCCATTTCCACCACTGTCATTTCCATCACCACACACATTTTATGAAAATATTTAAAAAGTTCTCATCACACATTAAAAGTGTAGTCACAATGTATGAGTTCATGCTCGATTTAATATTCTGTTTAATTATTTTCTAATAAGTTCTTAACCAAATTAATATTACATTGACAGGTGTACAGTTCAGCATTTGGTCCTAAGGGACTAATTTATTTAATTGACAAATGTACAATTATACATATATATATATATATATATATATATATATATATATATATATATATATATATATATATATATATATATATATAGTGGAAAGATTGGTTAAACTAGATACAACAATGATTCAAAAATTTCATTTTGAAATAAAAGCTGTATATTGAGATGTGGTGGAAATGACATTTGTTCAGTTCACGATGGAAAAATGTTTCTCTTCTAATCTAAGTTTGTCCTTTTACAGATCTTAAAACTAGACAAATTATTTAAACTTATGAGGCTGTGTTAAGGTAATTTTGAACAAGTTTTTTTACTCAACTTCACGAGGCTAAAAGTGCCCATAGTTGAAGAATGGCCCATATATATAATATACATGTTATATGAATAAAAAAAGTTTGAGCTGTATTATTTTTATATATCATATGCAGCCTTGATAATAAAATGAGTTTTTTAATAAAATTATTTATTATTATAAAAGAAAACCCTAGAGATGGTTGTGTGCGAAAATCCCAGCAGTTTCTGAAATACTCAGACCAGCCCGTCTGGCACCAACAACCATGCCACGTACAAAGTCACTTAAATCCTCTTTCTTCCCCCATTCTGATGCTCAGTTTGAACTCCAGCAGATCGTCTTGATCATGTCTACGTGCCTAAATGCATTGAGTTGCTGTCATGTGATTGGCTGATTAAAAATTTGTGTTAACGAGCAGTTGGACAGGTGTACCTAATAAAGTGGCCGGTGAGTGTATATATATATATATATATATATATATATATATATATATATATATATATATATATATATATATATATATATTTATCGTTTCTGTCTATTACATCTATTTACAGTTAATTCTTTTTTTTAAGTGAAAACTGTTTTATTATTGATTAGTTTGTAATCTATAATATATTATACATGACTGTAATTAATACTGCAGAAATAATTACTCATGATGAGATTGTATATGAATAATTTGTGCTACAGCACATTGACTGATGTTTCCTTACTTTACCCTCTGTATTTATTTTTTTATTTATGTATTTATGTTTATTATTACAGCTGCATGGTGGCGCAGTGGATAGCATGTTCGCCTCACAATAAGAAGGTCGCTGGTTCGAGCCTCGGCTGGGTCAGTTGGCATTTCTGTGTGGTGCATGTGTTCGCGTGGGTTTCCTCTGGGTGCTCCGGTTTCCCCAACAAGTCCAAACACGTGCTATAGGTGAATTGGGTAAGCTAAATTGGCCGTAGTGTATAAGTGTGAATGAGAGAGTATGGGTGTCTCCCAGTTTTGGGTTGCTGCTGGAAGGGCATCCGCTACGTTAAACATATGCTGGATAAGTTGGCGGTTCATTCCACTGTGGCGACCCCAGATTAATAAAGGGACTAAGCCGAAAAGAAAATGAATAAATGAATTTGTTTGTTATTATTTATTTAATTGTTTTTCCTTTCTATGTTGAATATGTAGTATAATTATAAAGTATAATGGTAACACTTTAGCTCACAATTTAAGCTATTAACTACTGAATTATGGCCTGCTTATTATTAAAATATGAACTGCTTATTAGTAATTATAACGTATGATCTTATCTGCATCCCTAATCCTACCCAAAATCAAAAACCCAACTTCTACCTTACTAACTAATAACAAACAGCTAATAATTCAACTCAATTTAATTCATTTATTTCTCTAGCACTTTTACAAATGTAAATTGTGTCAAAGCAGCTTAACATAGAAGTTCTAGTAAATTGAAACTGCATCAGTGCAGTTTTCAGATTAGTTTATTAAGCTAGTAGTGTTAATTAATAGTTTGTTAATACTGTAAATAGTGACCCAGACTAAAGTGTTACCAGTATAATGATGGTATAATATAGGAATTATAAAGATAAAACATAATTATAGCTCAAGGAAATGGTAGGATAGGGATTGTGCATTGATTTGTTTCTGTAAAATGCAAGTGTGAATATCTATAATATTTTTTTCTGGAGAAAGTCTTGTTTTATTTTGGCTAGAATAAAAGTAGTTTAATTTTTTTTTAAACAAACATTTTAAAGTAAACATTATTAGCCCCCTTAAGCAATATTTTTTTTAACAAACCATCATATGGTTATATGGCTAATTACACTAACCTACATAATTAACCTAATTAGGCCTTTAAATGTCACTTTAAGCTCAGTACTAGTGTCTGAAAAAATGTCCAGTCAAATATTATGTACTGTCATCACAGCAAAGATAAAACTAATCAGTGATTAGAGATGAGTTATTAAAACTATTATGTTGAGAAATGTGTTGAAAAAAACTGGCTCTCCGTTAAACAGAAATTGGGAGAAAAATATTCAGGAGGGCTAATAATTCTTAACTGTATATAGGGTATTGTATTAAAAAAAAATAAAAAAAAACCTGTATAAATGTTCATGGATTATGGTGCTAACTCTGTAGAGCAGATGTGTTCACAGTACCTGTCCTTGCGAGAGGAAGTTGGCCATGAGAGCTCCTCTAACAGCGTTTTCCAGGTCTGTGTCCTCGAAGATGATGAGTGGAGATTTCCCCCCGAGCTCCAGCGTCACTGCTTTCACCCCCCGAGACGCCATTTCCATGATCTGTTGACCAAAACATCTTTACATGAGAGGTGACAATTTCAGGAGAGTATCCATTGCTGCTTTTATTAACCTTCGTAATAGTGCATCTTATATTGAACACAGCTTAAATGCACGGCTTTTGTTTTGCAGCCACAGATAAACTTCTGGTGAAAGGTCTCTGTGGCTATTTTCTTTTCTTTTTTTTTTCCGTTTATTGTGAACATTCAATTGAGTGCAATCATACAGCATTTCAAGGTACATTGGCATCTCAGTATATGAACTTAAGTGGTATAAAAATCATGTACATTACTGTCAGGTGTATTTACTACACAGTAGTACTCATATTTTGTAAATTATATTAAATAAACAACAGCATAAAGAGAGAAGAAAAAAATAATAAGAAAAAGATCAAATAAATTATAATTATCAAAAATAAATAGAAATTAAACCACTTTTACGTCCAGGGTAAGAACATGTCATAAAATAATTAATTCATTATTTTCTTGTCGGCTTAGTCCCTTTATTAATCCGGGGTCGCCACAGCAGAATGAACCGCCAACTTATCCAGCAAGTTTTTATGCAGCGGATGCCCTTCCAGCCTCAACCTATCTCTGGGAAACATCCACACACACACTCATACACTACAGTAAAATTTAGCCTACCCAATTCACCTGTACCGCATGTCTTTGGACTGTGGGGGAAACCGGAGCACCCAGGAGGAATCCCACGCGAAGGCAGGGAGAACATGCAAACTCCACACAGAAACGCTAACTGAGCCGAGGTTCGAACCAGCGACCTTCTTGCTGTGAGGCGACAGCACTACCTACTGCACTACTGCCTTGCCCATAATATAATTCCTTCCAGAATAATCTCAACTCACCATCTTTATTATACACATGGGGATGTCACACATTATAATATGAATAAGTATAACCATATACATGTACTTACATTAGCATATATTTATCTATCAGATCATCATCTTCTATTCATTTATAGCAACAAAGTCAGGTCTTTTAACTAAAATATATTCAACCCATTTCCTCAGGAATATATCCTTCTTTAAATTGACAACAATTTTGATTTTTACCACTGTGTAGATCTCAATAGTTGGACCTATCCAGTTACTAAGGCTTGGTCGCTCTTGCAGTAGCTATTTGCGTGTGATTGCTTTTTTGCTGACAGCCATGAGGGCATGCATAAGGTATTTATTCTATGCTGTTATGGTATCTAAATCCACACAGCCAAAATATAACAATTTACTTTCGAGAGGTATATCTTTTACAGATACATGTTCAAGAGCCTCCTGTATTTTTCCAATACTCTTGAATATACTATGTGACTATTTTCAATTTCATGAGGTTCTTTTTACAGCATTCTTGTTGTAATGTAATTAAAATATGTTCGGTTAAAAAGACTTAATCGTTAATTTAGATGTTCAAGCGTAAAACGAGATTTTTAAAAGCTGTTTAAACGCTAGTGCCGTCGGTAGCAGCAGGCTAGCGCAGAAACTTCATTGAAATTACTGGAGTAAAATAAATTTCAATAATTTAAAGTCATGGCAAGGAAAAATTTTATTTAAGGCAGAGCTTCTTGTTTGGTCTGAGACCTACTTTATAACATATATTAATCAGGCAGTGAAGATCACCGATTTTCAAAAATATCAGATCTTAAATCTGGCGATTTTGTAATGTCTCGACAGTTCTCCGGAGGTTTGGGTTGGCTGACTGAAAATGAATAGTCTGTGCATATAGCCCATTAAAGGCATATATATACAGAGTGGGCCATTTATATGGATACACCTTAATAAAATGGGAATGCGCGTAGCTGTGCATTTATACTTCTGCGCGCTGTCTCTGTTGGTCTGCATTAACATTTTTGAAACGCTAGTGGGCAGTGAGGTGTTAATGTTCCTCTGTGTTGAGTTTCTTCTCTGCTGTGTTGCTTTTCCTGAACACCTCCTGGATGTACAAGTGACTCAAACTCGCTCATTTTGAGGCAGGAACCGGCGGATGTGCAACAACTTTAACTATGAGGTAAACACAAAACAAAACTTTCCATCCGGAGCTCCTTCACAGGACTCCACACTTGTAAACAATCGCTCCATTGGGCTCGCTTCCATCTTGCGCCATTCGCGCGGCTCTCGGTCCCGCCCAGACTCGTCAGTGCTACCAAGCCGACCAATCACAGAGCTTACGCTACGCGTCGTTGCGACGTGTAGTTACAATTTTTGAGAGGTGTACGTCAGCGACGCCGACGGCCACGGCGAAGGGCTATGCGTCAGCGCCGTAGCTTACGCCGGCGTTTGGCGCAGAAGTATAAATAAGCCTTAAGAATAAACCTTAGTTTGGATCCAAACCCCAGTTGTATGTGTCACTCCTTGTCGTTACAATGATATGTGAAGGGGGCAAACTTTTCAAGATGGTTGGTGGCCATTTTGAAGTCGGCCATCTTAGATCCAACTTTGTTTTTTTTTTTAATAGGAAGAGGGTCATTTGACACATCAAACTTATTGGGAGTTTCACAAGAAAAACGTAGAGAGAATTGACAGAAAAGCATGGGGAGCAGAGAGAGAGGAAGGATTGGCATAGTTCCGCGAGGCGGAATCAAACTCGGGTCGCCGTGAGCACTGGAGTGCATGTGTCCACACACTACACCACTGCCGCCGACTGTAACAAATATTTGAATCCCAGTTTATTTAGAAGAAATGCTCTGTAGACATGTCTATACATGTTAATGTGGAGACATGGCACCTGTCAATCAATTCGGGGGGCGGGACAAACTGCACTTCAAGTTACATTGCAGTGGGCCTCAGAATCACTAAGATTTGGATCCTATTTTAACATCAAGAAATAAAAAAAGAGACTTGTGTTTATATCACCCCAATAGGACAGTGAACATGCTATAAACACAGACAGTTCTTTCCAAACAGCTTACAAAAGTTGATTTTCATCAAAGGTGCCTTTAAGTTCTGACACTGGTTTTTACCTTCTTTCCTGTGGGCACACTTCCAGTGAAGGAGACTTTTTCCACCGAAGGGTGAAGACAGAGCAGAGAGCCGGTCTCCTGTCCGCCCTGAACCACATTGAACAGGCCCTCAGGAGCCCCAGCCTGCCTGTAAATCTCCGCCAGCAGCACTGCGGTCACAGGGGTCAGCGGAGACGGCTTGAACACCATAGAGTTGCCTATCAATAAACCAACCATCATAGAAAACACTAAGCGGAGAGAATCATCTTAAGCACAGGGGTCAAAACAACTGGTGTGGTTTGAGGGAATAACTTTCATAGCACATACCACAAGCGATGGCAGGGGCAGATTTCCAGGCTGCGATCTGAAAGGGGTAATTCCAGGCTCCTATTCCCACACACACACCGAACGGCTCACGGCGCGTGTACGCAAATGAACCCCCTGGTAGCTGGACATGCTGACCTGAGAAAGAAGAGCCGAAATCATGCCAGATAGTGAAGTTAACACAACTATATTTTTATGTAGAGTACACTACCAGTCTACAGGAAGAAGAACTGAAAATGACCAACAACAAACCAACTGACCGGACAGTGTGGTGGCTTGTCCTGCGAAATACTCAATGCTCAGTCTGGCTGAGTCCACATCCAAACGGGCTTCTGTGATGGACTTTCCATTGTTGATCACCTCCATCTCTGCGATCTCCTCTCTTCTCTTCTGTTCTCAACAACAGGAAGAACTGAAGAGATCAGACGCAGCAACTTCTCGAATCCATGCAACACTTTCATGTACTGTTAAAGAAATGGACCGTTCAGTTTCACCATTTTTAAATCCATGTAGCTGATCTCTGGATCTGAAGGGAGCACTTTTAGCTTAGCTTAGCATAGATCATTGAATCAGATTAGACCGTTAGCATCTCACTCAAAAATAACCAAAGAGTTTGGATAATTTTCCCATTTACAACTCCACTAGAGTTAAACAGTTGAGTTTTACCATTTTTGAAACCATTCAGCCGATCTCTAGATCTGAAGGCAGCGCTTTTAACTTAGCCTAGCATAGACCATTGAATTGGATTAGACCGTTAGCATCTCAATCAAAAATGACCAGAGTTTAGATAATCTTCCTATTTTCAACTTCATTGGAGTTAAACAGCCAAGTTGTACAATTTTTTAAATTCATTTAGCTAAACTCTGGATGTGACGGGAACGCTTTTAGCTTAGCTTTGCATAAATCATTGAATCAGATTAGACCATTAGCATCTCACTCAAAAATGACCAAAGAATTTAGATGTTTTCCCATTTACAACTCCACTAGAGTTAAATAGTTGAGTTTTACCATTTTTGAATCCATTCAGCCGATCTCTGGATCTGAAGGAAGCACTTTTAGCTTAGCTTAGCATAGATCATTGAATCAGATTAGACCATTAGCATCTCACTCAAAAATGACTTAAGAGTTTAAATAATTTACAACTCCACTGGAGTTAAACAGTTGTGTTTTACCATTTTTTAATTCATACAGCCGATCACTGAATTTGACAGGAACATTTTTAGCTTGGCCTAGCATAGATCATTGAATCAGATTAGACCGTTAGCATCTCACTCCAAAATGACCAAATGGTTTAGATATTTTTTTTTATTTAAAGCCTGACTTTTCTGTTGTTTCATTGTGTACTGAAACCAACGGAAATGAAAAGTTGCTGTTTTCTAGACCGATGTGGCTAAAAACTATACTGTCATCCTGGCGAAATAACATTATATAAGGCAATGATATTAAGCAGCAGTGAAGAGTCAGCAACTTCTCAAACACTTTCAAGTAAAGGAACACTTTTCTTTTTTTTTTGCTAGAAATATACTGTAGTATTTTACAACTTCACTAGAGTCAAACAGTTAAACAGGACCACTTTTAGCTTAGCATAGATTATTAAATCAGATTAGACCAATAGCATCATGCTCAAAAATGACCAAAGAGTTTAGATAATTTTCCTATTTACAACTTTACTAGAGTTAAACAGTTGAGTTTTACCATTTTTGAACCCACTCAGCCAAACTCTGGATCTGAAGGGAGAACTATTAGCTTAGCTTAGCATAGATGATTGAATCAGATTTGTCAATTAGCATCTCACTCAAAAATGACCAAAGCGTTAAGATAATTTGCTTTTTAAATCTTGACATTTTCTGTCATTACATTGTGTATTAAGACACAATTAAGAAAATGAAAAGTTTATATTTTCTACACTGATATGACTTGGAACTATACTCTTATTCTGGTGTAATAATAAAGTAACTTTGCTATTAGGCAGCATTTGAAAATAGTCCCAGGCTAGATAACAAAGTAACAGCACTGTGTAATATCACTGCGCCAGCTGCAGCCATGATACAGCAGCAAATGTCCGTGATGAGAGAGTATAGTTCCAATCATATCATTTTAAATCGGAATTTTTTGAACAAGTTGCTAATGGTCTAATCCATTTCAATGGTCTATGCTAAGCTAAGCTAGAAGTGCTCCTGTTCGACACAGAGATTGGCTAAATGGATTCAAAAGTGGTAAAACTCAAATGTTCAACTTTAGGGGAGCTGTAAAATGAGCCAAAAAGGTGGCAGGTTTCTTTAAGATATGTGATCAGTGCATTCAGGTCTACCTCAATGAGTCGAGCGGCCTCCAGCATCACTCTGGCTCTTTCCATGCCTGACAGTTTCCTCCAGACTTTAAAAGCAGCACTGGCGTTTCTAACCGCTGCATCAACCTCTGCTGACCCACACGTCTGCAGCCGGCAGAGGACACGACCTGTGATGATACAGGTCCATGATAATCTGACTCGATCAAAATTTAAACACCAGATTGTACTCTTATTTATTTATTAATATTATTTGATTTATTAACAAAAACCAGCATGCGCAGATTCACTGTACAATGAAACCACTTCACATTCCTTAACAAGGATTAAATGAGAAAAATAATAATAAAAGAAAATAAGAGAGGGTAGAAAAAAGGGGTCAAGGATACATAATTATCAATTTACATAGATTTTAATCTCTTTTTCTAGCACCATGAAGAGTGGTTTGCTTTTTGCAAACTTGCATTTATGTATGTGAAATCTAAATAATAATACTTTACAATTAGATTTGATCATCACTTTGTTATGTGCACTACATCATATATTGTGGAAAAAAATGTTTACTGGTTTTATAATTTGCATACATCTTTTTTTCATGATATTATCTACATTGTTTAATTGTTTTTATGGTTATACCTTGTTCTTTTACATCCATTGTGGACCACAAAAACAGTCATATTAAAAATTAGGATTCATACATCATCTGAAAGCTGAATATTCAGCGGGAAAAATAAGTATTGAACATGCAGGGTTCAACGCTAAGGACGTTTTCTACTGGCCCGACTGGACCAGCAGTTCAGATTTTTACTGGCCCTGCCAAAATTTTCACTGGCCCCACCAAAATAAATAAATAAATAAATAAAAAATAGCTATTTTTTTAGCCACATATTTTAAATAATGTGTCAAAAATAATGTCTTTAAATCTAGAATTTAAATATTTTTAAAATGTTAAAATATTTAGCAGTAAAATACAGCAGTATGGAAAATGTGCAGGTATTTTATTGCTAAACAAAAAGTGGCTGACTTAAAAGTGATGGAAAACTATGCAAAACATCACTTTATTTTTTTTTCGTTGTGTTGTACCCATGTAAATATCTTCTTCCACAACGTTGAAAACAGACGTTTTCTTTTAGCCTCATAATTTGATATTGTCGTCTCTTCACTGTTCTGGTTTTTACCAGGTGCTCACAACAACCAATCAGATAAAAGGAACCAAAAAGCAATATGGGGTTTAAGACTTTACAGAAAACGTAGCATTCTGAGACTTAAAAGCACAAATTGTTTCTCGGTTCTAAGACTGTATTTGCACACAATTGCCATAGTAGCAGGCAAATTAAAATTTGATTACAAGGCAGCACTGGCCTGATCGGGCCAGTAACGATTCTCTCTACTGTCCCGAACATCTCTCATGCTGGCCCCGGGCCATCGGGCAGTCCTTATTGTTGAGCCCTGACATGTCATGTTTTTTTCCTGGGAATAATATTTCTAAAGAAGCTGTTTACATGGAATTTAACCAGATTTTGGTAAAAACCCAAACAATATAAACCTGACAGTTTTACCGTATAATAGTTTTATATTATACGGTACGCAAGAAGTAGCTCTCAGTTTCATAAAGGTTGGTGACCCCTCACCAACATTTATGAAACTGAGAGCTACTTCTTGGGTACTGATTAATGTGGAGGGCTACCAGTTTGATAAACACTTCTCAAATAACAAATTTGCTCAATTTACTTTTAATCATACTTTATGTTTTTGGTAATAATTAATAATATTCATCCATGTGAAGACACTGATCATGTTAATGATTCTCACTAAAGTTATCAGCAATGATTTAACAGGGTAGGAAATACCCTGTATTTAATGTATCAATGTGCAACACTTTATTTTTATATATCTCTGCAAATATTTACATTTTTAAATGATTACTTCTATATTAGATGAAGCTTACTGGTAAGTGGCGCTATGGGTGAGCTATTTTTTTAGAACAGGCCTGCGGGCAACACATGTGATCCTCGCGGGCACCATGTTGGTGACCCCTGATATAAACATACAAATAAAAAAAATCTGAAAAATGATTAACGTGTAATACAATGGAATAACACAAGGAGAAAGAGCTGAACTACTGAAACGTATTTAATACTTTATATAAAAGGCTTTTATGGTGTTGGCAGATTAAAGACGCCTCTCATATCAAGAATAAAACCACATGCACTGCTCAGGTGTGAGTATTTACAGCCTTCAACAGTGTAAAAATACTGATGGTTCTGTGGGTTTCGTCAATCAAATCTGAGCTTTAATTGGTATTTTCTATTGGGTTCAGCTCAGGTGATTGGCTAGGCCATTCTACATCTTGATTTTCCTTCTCTGAAAGCATTTGAGAGTTTTATTGGCTGTGTTTTGGATCATTGTCTTGCTAAAATGTCCCCTCTTGTTTCATCTTCATCCTGCTAATGTAGATGTTGGACTGAAGCAGCTGATATTCATTTACATTGATGAAGGGCAGAAGGTTGCTGAAGAACTACTGAGAGATTTCAGCTGCTGTCTGGGCTTTCACTACCTTTCTACACCTGCCTCTCGTCATGTGTTCAACACATTTTCCCTTCGTCATTTCATTTGTTTTCTTTGCATATATGAATTTCTTTAGTTGCCATCAACATCTGGTGAAAATTTCATGTCAACGGCACCTTTATAAATATGTTTTTTTTTAAAATGATGACATGTTCAATACTTCTTTTCCCCGCCATATATGCTTCCATTTATGTATACTTAAGGTTGAATAATATTTGGCAGAAATACAACTGGCCCACAGCCCTCTATCAAGTTTGGTTTTTGGCTCTTTATAGGAAAACGTTTGGGCACCCCTGCTCTAAAGAAAATACTGGGTCGTTGTAAGTCAATGTTGGGTCAAACATGGACAAACCCAAACCTTTTGGTTAAAAGTTTAATATACATTTTTAAAAACTTAATGCTGAGTTACAACCCAGCAGTGTTAAAATGTCCAGTTGAATTTTTATAAAAAAAATTTCCTTACACTTTTACCTTGATTTATAGAAGAAACACTAAAATGAAATATTGAGGAAAAATAATTATTGAACAACATTCTATTTAAGGGGGACCTACAACACCCCTTTTAGCAAGATGTGAAATAAGTCTCATGTTCCTAGACTAGGGTGTCTACTTAAAATATACTTGCAATTAGATTTTATCTACTTAAATCTTCTTAAAATCTGGAATCTGAGGTTTAAAAAAAGCAAAACACTGATAATGTTGCCCATAAAATTGACCAAAGTAATTGCTTAGCAATGCACGTAGTAAAAAATTCGTTTTGATATATTTAAAGTAGGAAATTTACTAAATATCATAATAGAAGATGATCTTTACCTAATATTCTAATGATTTATAAATAAATAAATAAATGAAAAATCTATAGTTTTGTCCTATTCAATGTATTTTGGATATAAAAAAACACAAATTTTGTGGTAAACAGTCATATTTGTAATGTGCTTGTAAATTATGTTTGTTCCCTGACATTCTCTAGAAAAGTAAGAATTTAATTGTGCTAGTACAAAACAATGAAGCTCCTGAACCTGACCTTGAAGTCAAAATTTAAGTTTTTTTTTCTTAATACCACGTCAATATCATAGAAATCAATCCTAATAGCCAGATATAAAAGTGATCATTTGATTTAGTGGGCAAAGTCTGATTGTGTAATGCATAGAAGAGGTAGAGAAACTACATTACCTGTTGCAGGCTCAAATACTGGTTCAGATTTGGTCTTCACATCTTTAAGGTCGACCCGGGCACCACACCAGAAGTTCAGTGGATCTTTAATTTGAAGGGTTCCTGAGGACGCACACCTGGTCCAGGGGTGATATAGGGTCCTGTAGAAACCCGGGGGCAGGAGACACCTCATAAGAGCCATCTTCAGCCTAAAACTGAACTTTGACCCACAGGAGGAATGTCAACAAATCAGCTCTTTTCAGATTTTACACCAAAACTGGAATAGGTTACTGAAATAGCACTATAAACAAACACACGAATTACAAGACAAGTGAAAACGCCATTAGCTTTTAATTTCAAACGTATAACGTATGTTTAATATTGGATGATATAATTATTTGTATAATAAGTTTATGATTATTAACTCGCCATAACAACAGTAATTCGCCAGTAACCGTCGAAGGGAGTAGAATTAGTTTTCAGTTTAAATTGGAAATAATAACAATGTAAGCAAAGGCTGAAAGACTAGCAAGAAAAAAGGGTTTAACGGATTGAGTCGTCCACCCACCTCCTCCTCTGAAGATTTCAGATCAGTCCAGCCATGTTCGAGCATTCTAGGGCGGGGCTTATGCGTAAGAGCGACTCCCATTGGCTTGCTCTTGATGATGTCACGTGACGGGTTTTCAGCAAACATAAGTTTTTTTGTACTTAAAATTATTTATCGTCCTCATACCCAGTGAACACTCTCTTAGTAAGATATAAAAAAAGATATTGAAACAAATTTTTCATTTTGTAAACAACACCCTGAGTCCTTAGTTCTCTTATTTTGGCAATGCAGTTATTCTAATTTGCTTTGGAAAGATTTTTCCCTTTTTTTAATTGAGAATGTTGATAAAGACTTTTCTTACTATGGGAAAATGTTTTGTTTGGTTTTGTTAGTTATAAATCAGAAGCTTGACATAAAAAGAACATATATGTAATAGTCTTATCTTATTAACAAAATTGTATATACATAAATGTAAATTTACAAACGAAAAACCCTTTTCTTTACATTTTGCTTACTGAAATGCAGTACTTTGAAACTATTGCTAACTTTTTTGCAAAAAAGGCTTTAAAAATTTGAAAAAAAATTTAATATAAAAAAATTTAATTATATATGTTTTCTTTATTGTGTGATGCACATACCCTTTCTGTTTGTTTTTCATTTTCTTTTGTTATTTGTTGTTGTTTTTCTTGTTTTAAAATGTTTTCTTTTAGTCTTTCAATTTTCTTTATAATGTACTGTGATTGTATATTCTTACTTTTCTGTTTTTCCAATAGACAATTTAATAGATAGATTTCTACTGTAATGCATGTCTTGCTTATGATTTCCCCCTCTTATTTTCCCCCTGTAGTTATTTACATGTTCATTTTTATGTCATGTGACTTATACATGTTTATTAAAAAATTGATTTGCAAACTTTTTTTTTATACTTCTTCAGAAAACTTGTCTTAAATTGAGCCCTTGTCCATTATTTCTGCTCATATTTCACATTAGAAGTGTATTTTCAAATAATTAATTTTATTATTTTCAAGATATGGATTTTAAGATACTGATAGACACCATTTATTAATTAAATAATTCATTTTGCAAAGTTTTTGTCTTTGCTTTAATAAATAATATATTATATTTCATTCATTCATTCATTCATTTTCCTTCGGCTTACTCCCTTTACTCATCAGGGGTTTGCCACAACCGAATGAACCCTTAACTTTTACACAGCAGATGCCCTTCCAGCTGCAACCAAGTACTGGGAAAACATATTATATTGCATTAAAATAATAATAACAACAATAACAATAATAATAACAACAACAACAATAATAATAATCATCATCATAATAACAACAACAACAATAATAATAATCATCATCATAATAACAACAACAACAATAAGAATGATAATTATTATAAACAATCATTTTAAAACCATATGATAAAGCATATAATAATATGCTTAATAAAAAGAATGTTGTAAAAATAGGTTAATAATGATAACTGATCAGTATAACTATAATGCCATACTTTTACACAATTTTAATTACCTTAAATAAATAAAAAATATACTGGCATTGCTGTAGTGATGTCTGACTAAATAAAATTAAACAACACATGCGACAGACATCGATAGATAGATAGATAGATAGATAGATAGATAGATAGATAGATAGATAGATAGATAGATAGATAGATAGATAGATAGATAGATAGATAGATAGAAGGATGGATAGATAGATAGATAGATAGATAGATAGATAGATAGATAGATAGATAGATAGATAGATAGATAGATAGATAGATAGATAGATAGATAGATAGATAGATAGATAGATAGATAGATAGATAGATAGATAGATAGGATAGATAGATAGATAGATAGATAGATAGATAGATAGATAGATAGATAGATAGATAGATAGATAGATAGATAGATAGATAGATAGATAGATAGATAGATAGATAGATAGATAGATAGATAGATAGATAGATAGATGTGTGCTTTATTCTTTTCTGGATACGAGCAGAGTGTGGGACACAGGAGGAGGAGCGGTGTGTGTGTGTATTATTAGAATAGCGACACACACACTTGTGATTCCACACTGCAAGCATGGCTGGCGACAGTGAAACACATCTTAAGGACAGAGCGGAAAACGGCCACGCCGTCCGACAGCCTTTCCTCATCGGTGTGTCCGGAGGCACCGCCAGTGGGAAGGTTTGAGCTTTACGACTGTTTATCGCTAACCGTTATTACCGTATCGGGGTGTCAATGACCCCGGCGGAGCATCCAGCGACCGCGTGGCTTTTTAGTCAACTTTAAATGAAATAATGAAGATAACTAGCTAAAATACTACATTAGGAAATTAAAATATATTCTCACGGCTTTACGTTTTACAGATACAAATCTAAACACATAATCTGACTCTTTTGTGTATTTTATAATTCGACGAGCCTTTGTCATTCATCACTGAAAGAGCTTATTTTCTTACCCGCGTAAAGAATTTACGACATAAACTCGAACGACAACTCATTAGTTACAATGTTAATTACAAATATGCCCATATTTTGTGTTTACAGCCGTTAATAAGCCCCGATAACGTCAT